AATGGATGTGAATTTGAACGTGGAACGGAGGGACGGTGCCTGCTTCAAAGTCTATTGACATGAATAATGATGGCATCTTGAATAGCGTTTTACCATGATATTTGACCAATGAATCTGCGATCCTTAATCGGGCATTTGAATACGGCTGATTCGTTTTTGATCACTTCAATGACCTCCCTTGCTGCTTGCGCCACTACCGGACGTGCTGAATGGTTCATTTTGAGAAATTTCTTACGATGTCATCGTTTGACAACGGTATCAATAATCACAATCAGGTACAGATTCAGTGAACCATTTGGAACAGAATTGTATTTGGTAAATCGTAAAATTGATGAAAAAGTATCATACTAGAATACATCGATATCAGTTTGATTCTACCTCATTTCTGGAAGCAAGAAGTGTTTAACAGTCATACTATTTATATGATGTAAACTGTGATGGATAATTCATATTGGGATAAAACAGTGAATTGCAAAGCGGTGAAATCCGCTTTTTTTGGATTACTACTGAACCCAACTCTTGGAGAAATGCATACGAATCAAGCGTACTTATCACTTCGACATCGAAATTAATTTCAGCTCTGCCAACTTTATTCACGGCAGCACACATATAAGACCCACGATGTTGTACATCGGCATAAGCAATTTTCAATTGTTGTCCCCCGGAAAGTGTTTGTACTTGAGGTAGTGACAGNTTGTCAGTTTAATATTTTCACCGTCCACAACGATGAACTATTTGGTAAATTTCAGAACAAGTTAAAACGAATAACGACAATACGACATTTCTGTTATTCGTTTGACGATGAAGCCGAAATATTTGCATGGCATTTCTTCGATTTCTGATATATGTATACGTTCTGGACATAGCATCATTATACTTGTATGATACTAAAGAAAACTTTCGATAAAATGGTCAGTTCAAAAATTTTCGAAGGACCATCCAGCTGGCCATTCTGGAGTGCTGGAACTAGATACTCACTTTCGTCCATGTAATTTGTGGCGGAGGGTATCCTTCAGCTTCACAAGGCAGCACAAGTGAATTGTTCTCGATCACTTTGTACTCACCGCCAACACTAACAACTGATGCTGGAACTGAAACGAACACGGGCGCTTATTATTATTAACAGCACTTTCAGGCGCTTCTTCAGAATTTTCGACTCATGAACACTCGCCTAATTACACGAATCACAGAAAAACCATTGCTCTGTATCGTCGTTAAAATTCACTCTATTCTCAGTCTCACACTGTCCCGGCAAGCTTTCTCGCACGGGCGATTATGCAAAAATAACTGCGAAACTGATACATGATACAATTGAAGAACAGCGCTTCAGCAGCGCACTGCGATCTGTTTATCGTTTTGAAAAACTTCAGAAGTCTGAAAAGTTGAATGACAGATTTGAGAGAT